ATTTCTCACGAATTTGATTCACCGTCGACATAATGAAGATTTATTATTACTTAAAAAATTGCTTTGATTTCACCATGAATGGTTCAGATTATCAATAATGAATGTTGTTTTATTGACGAATATTTCCATAAATACAATAAATCTTTAGGCATAAATGAGAATATTACTTCAGATATGTATCGTCACCAATAAACATGTAATGTTAGTGGTCTATTGTACCGTGTATTCGACAATTTTTCAGCGTGTCCAATCTCTGAAATATACATCAAATGATGATTTACAATTATTGCCACTAATAAACATGACGATGTTATTAGACAGCCGCACAATATCTCAGAACCTATCTACGTGGCGATATCAATTTAATTCACGCAAAGGGTTTTGTGTTGCGTTAACAAAAATGTATTCGATCGCTATTGTTAAATGGAACAGGTTACTACCCTAAATATTAAAAATATCAAACAATGGTCACATATCCTTTTAAGGGTAGACACGTGAATAGTCATTTATAGGTTATTGTTGAGTATTTCTGAGTATTATGAATCACAAATCATGATAAAATTTATTGAATCCAAAGAGATGCATTTAGTTTCCATTGATTTTCGATACTCAGTGATCGCGAAATAATTGATAGAACTGGATTACATTGATATGTCTATTGAAATTATTAAAACTGATGTCACAGTGAAAGAGATTAGTGATAATTAAAATAAGATAGGGTGGAAAAAAGCTTGGAAAGATTCAAAATAATTTTTGATCAGGTAAATTTATAATTGAAATCTACTTTTTTATTTTTCGATATGAAATGGTCTACCGAAAAAATAATAAATATGATTCACATTTTGAGTGAATGTGACAGAAATTGTTCATTAGCCAGTTTCACAATTATTTCTGAATTTGAGTACTAAAATCATTCTCATTATTCAAGATAACGATTAGATGTGGTACGCCAGTAAAAATGTATGTGATAATGGTCGCGACATCATGTGAGAAAAGGGGCTTTTGAGTTTTTCAGAAGTCTCCGGACTTTTTCAGAAGTCCTTAGAAATCATCAGAGTTATTCAGAAGTCTTCAGATGGTTATAAGTAGGAGTATTTTAGCAGTCGGATTAGTTTTGCATTCGCTACCACAGTGATCGCTTCGAACCAATTGAAACTAAGGTAGCAGATTCGTATTCAACACAGCGGACAGTAAATAAATATCACTGTGAAGATTATGACAACGCTTATGGTCATAAATATGTTGACGGTGAATAGGGGAATAAGAATATTCGCTTCGATGATAAACATTAGATAATGTCGATTTCGAAATTACTTTTAGTCTTTTGGAATTACTATATATATATATATATATATATATATTCAACCAA